TGAAAAGAAAAAGACAAGAATAACTCAAATTTTTGTTTTGTTTGGTTTTTTGTTTTGTTTTTGTTTTTTTTTTTTTTTTAATGTTTTTCAACTAAACAGACAAAGTAAAATTGGTCAAATGATCAAACAAGTTAAATAAAAATGGTTTTATAACCGTAACGATCGGATGACCGGACGAGTAAAGTAAAAACGGTTAGAAAACCGCAATGATTAGGTTGACCGAACGAATCAGATAAAACAGCTAGAAAACCATAACGATCGGATTAACCGAATGAATGAGAGAAAACGGCTAAAAAGCCACAATGATTAGATAAACCGAACGAGATAAAATGGTTAGAAAACCGCAACGATCGGATAAACCAAAAGAGAAAGGTAAAAACGGTTTCATAACTGCAAGTTGAGTAGCAACGATTGTATAATTGAGCTAGTTGAGTACAAATGGTTTTATAACCAAGCAAGAAATGGTTTTTGAACCAAGCAAGAAACGGTTTTTTAACCGAGCGAGAAATGGTTTTTAAACCAAGCAAGAAACGTTTTTTTTTTTAACCAAGTAGAAATGGTTTTTGAACCAAGCAAGAAACGATTTTTTAACCGAGTGAGTCAAGTTGCTACAGTCAAACGACCGAGCTAGTTTTGAGTGGCTACGGTCAAACGACCGAGCCAATTGAGCAAGGAGTGGTTTTTTAACTGAGTAAGAAATGGTGTTTTAACCGAGTGAGAAATGGATTCCCATTAACCTACATCCCCAAGTATTTGAATGGAATTTCACTTTTATCACAATTCAAAATACAAGCTATCTTAGTTAGCCACTCCTCATCCACATTCACTCCCACGATATGGCTTTTCAAAAATAATTTTGAGTCCCAAAATCAGTTCAATGTTCCTGATGCACTTTGCAACCTACACATTCTCCTCAATAGCTCTTCCAAACATAAGAGTGTCATTTGTGAATTGTAGATGGGATATATGTATTTTCTCTCTTCTAAGTTCTACCCTTTTAAACATGCCTTTTGTTGGTACCAATTTAATCACCCTATTTAAGCCTTTTGCATTGATTAAGAATAGGAATGGGGAAAGGGGATCCCCCTATCTAATACCCTTAGTAATGTTGAATTGCTTTAACAGACTCCCATTAATTAGAATTGAAATAGTGGTT